ATCATACACCACTGAGGATGGCCTTGAACTGATTCTAGGATCTGCATATCTCAGTTGTGAAAAATGGCAGTCACTCCCCCCCCCCCCCCCAACAACTCCTTTTCCACCCCACTCCTCCCCCAAATGTCCATATGCAGAGCAGTGGAGCACTTTAGGTGACTACACAGCAATTCACATTGTGCAGAGTTGCTTCCACCATGCAATACAGTTTATACTATAGTGTGCTAATGTGCATTGAGGGGTCCATTTTGGAATATCACTTGATTTTGCTTATATCTGTGTAAAAGCCTTTTAAAGTGTGCTGCAGTGTGCTTTTGCTGCATGCATTGTAAAGCCACCTCACTTTCAAGTTGACTTCAAACTGCATTAAGTGGTCAGAGTAGATGTGCCCTAGGACCTAAAATGATAACTCTGAAAGAACTTCTGTAAATAAGATCATAGAATCAAAGAGTTGGAAGAGACCTCATGGGCCATCCAGTCCAACCCCCTGCCAAGAAGCAGGAAAATTGCATTCAAAGAACCACCAACAGATGGCCATCCAGCCTCTGCTTAAATGCCTCCAAAGAAGGAGCCTCCACCACATTCCAGGGCAGAGAGTTCCACTGCTGAACAGCTCTCACAGTCAGGAAGTTCTTCCTAATGTTCAGATGGAACCTCCTCTCTTGTCATTTGAAGCCATTGTTCTGCTTCCTAGTCTCCAGGGAAGCAGAAAACAAGCTTGCTCCCTCCTCCCTATGACTCCCTATGAAATATGACCCTCTCACATATTTATACATGGCTATCATGTCTCCTCTCAGCCTTCTCTTCTTCAGGCTAAACATGCCCAGCTCTTTAAGCCGCTCCTCATAGGGCTTGTTCTCCTGACCCTTGATCATTTTAGTCGCCCTCCTCTTGACACTTTCCACCTTGTCAATATCTCTCTTCAGTTGTGGTGCCCAGAATTGGACACAGTATTCCAGGTGTGGTCTAACCAAGGAAGAATACAGGGTAGCATGACTTCCCTGGACCTAGACACTATACTCCTATTGATGCAGGCCAAAATCCCATTGGCTTTTTTTGCCGCTGCATCACATCGTTGGCTCATGTTTAACTTGTTGTCCACAAGGACCCAAGACCTTTTTCACACGTACTGCTCTCGATCCACGCATCCCCCATTCTGTATCTTTGCATTTGAATATGACGATATATAAATAAATGCCAAGATCAGAATAATATATGGCACAATATTTCTAATTTCTTTATATGGATGTGAAATCTGGACAGTGAAGAAAGTTAAATGGAAGAGAATCAACCCATGTGAAATCTGACGATGGAAGAGAGTTCTATAGATATAAGAGACTGATAAAAAGACCAGTCAATAGGCCCTAAAGGAAATTACAACTGAACTCTCCTTAAAAGCCAAGATGATTAAACCGAGGCTGTTGTACTTTGGACATATCTGGAAAAAATATTTCTCATTGAAATAGATGGCAAAGCTAGGAAGTAACAGGAAAAGAAAGCCACAGCTTTGACTTTGTACATCCTAAGCAAGGCAGGAGATATCCAGGGCTCTAGAAGACCAATTATGCATAAGACGCCATAAATCAGTCAACTTGTTGACAAAAAACAACGATTTCTTCCCAACTGCACATTTTTGTCCTAAACACTAAAAAGACAGTTGAAACCATTTAAATTTTTTAGCAAATCATGAAGACTAGATCCATAACACAAAATAATGTAAATTCTGTGAGCCATTCTATATTTTATATAGACTTAATTAAATCAAATTTCTGCTTTAGCTACAAAATTTCAAGCTAAAAAAATAAAAATGACTCTTAAATGGTAATATTGTGTACTGTTTGATGAAGCAAAGATAGTTAAATATATTAAATTGTTGCCTTATTCAATACTAATTTACTAATAGATTAATTTTTTTTAGATTTACTATATAATTATTAAAATTAGATAAAGTTTTAAAATAAATAATGTAATACATATGAAATATAATTATTAGAGATAAATAGATAGTTATTAAATTCTACTTAAAATATTAACATGTGGATTATAATAATAATGAAGATAAACTTTTAATGAAGAGGAACTGGAAGAAGAGGCTAGAAGATTGTGAGATAATACTGAAAGAAGATACAACTATTAGACTTAATGTTTGGTGACAACATTACTCCTCCCTTTACTATAGTAGATACATGGACATTTTTTGGCATTTTATATAATCAATGTAATTGATATAAAATAGATGTAGTTTCAAAGGGAAAATGTTTTTTCAGTGTAATAATGACATTTAGAAAACTTTGTACATACAGCTTTGTACAACTTTGTCTTTCCTCCTTTTCTTCAATTCCTCCCCTCTTTTATTTTGACATATTTAATATTTGTCATGGTTTAATCTACTAACAAGAACTCCACCTCCCCTTTTTCTTTTTCCCCTCTTTTCCCCCTTTTTTTCCTTTTTTGTTGTTGAATTAATTGCTTTTAAAATATAATACCAAACAAAACATACACACCGTTTTGATTTGTCAGGGACAGCACCGAAGTTCAATGCCATCCCATTTATTGCCATTCTATCCCACTTTCTCTTTTCTCTTCCCATTTTGCCAGCTTACTTCAACAGTTGCAAACAGAGTTCAAAGTACAAAAGTAGTTGGCACTCAATTCATTCAGCAGAAGGGAGGGAAACCAGTGGACAGAAGTATAGATTTCCCAGCAAGCTTATTGCAGATTCTTCTAACAGTTTTCTTCCTCCTGAATAACATTTGCCATTGTGGTCACCCTCCTGATGTAGCTCAGTGTGGGTGCTTCTACACTGTAGAATAAATGCAGGATGATACCACTTCCATCACCAGGGCTCAATGTTAGGGAATCCTGGGGGTTGTAGTTTTTAAATAGTTTTTAAAGTATTTCATGCTGATGCTTTATCCCACTAGAACTCCCATGATTCTGTATCACTGAGCCAGGGCTGTTAAAGTAGTATCAAACTGCATTCATTATACCAGCATTTCTCAACCTGGGGTTGGGACCCCTGGGGGGCTAGCTAGGGGGGTTTCAGAGGGGTCACCAAAGACCATCAGAAAACATGTATTTCTGATGGTCTTACGTGTCCCTTTGGCAGAGAAGGCTGAAGATATCTCTGCCTGTTCTTCTCTTCCTTTTCGGAAACAGAGGGCGAATCCTCCCACCCAAAGCCCTCCTCTGCTGTGATTGGCCAGCCTCTCAGCAAGGGGGGGGGCTTTTTCTGAGACAAGTTTTGTGTGGCAACTTTACTAGTTCCATCGCCAGAGTGCTCTCTGAGTGTTGGTGAACTACAACTCCCAGAATTAAAAGAGCTCCCCCAACTCTACCAGTATGTTGGCTATGTAGGTGGTGTGCCAAGTTTGATGGCGCTTCATTGTGGGCTGTGTTTAGAATGTTCTTTGATTGTAGGTGAACTATAAATCACAGCAAGTACAACTCCCAAATGTCAAGGTCTATTTTCCCCAAACTCCACCAGGGTTCACATTTGAGCATATTGAGTATTTGTGCCAAGTTTGGTCCAGATCCATCACTGTCTGAGTCCACAGTGCTCTCTGGATGTAGGTGAACTACAACTCCAAAACTCAAGGTCAGTGCCCACCAAACCCTTCTAGTATTTTCTGTTGGTCATGGAAGTTCTGTGTACCAAGTTTGGTTGAATTCCATCATTGGGGGAATTCAGAATGCTCTTTGATTGTAGGTGAACTATAAACCCCAGCAACTACGTCTTCCAAATGACAAAATCAATCCCAACCCCACCAGTATTAAAATTTGGGCCTATTGGGTATTTATGCCAAATTTGGTCCAGTGAATGAAAATACATCCTGAATATCAGATATTTACATTATGATTCATAACAGTAGCAAAATTACAGTTGTGATGTAGCAAGGAAAATAATGTTATGGTTGCGGGTCACCACAACATGAGGACCTATATTAAGGGGTTGTGGCATTAGGAAGGCTGAGAACCACTACATTATTATTTATTATTTCATTTATTTCTCGCACTTCTACCCCACCCTTCTCAACCCCCGAGGGGGGACTCAGGGCGGCTTACAAAAAGGCACAATTCGATGCCGGCACAACAACAAGGTAAAACAAATTCAACATATAAAGAGTAATTAACCAATTAAAACAATTAAACAGTCCATTATATATCACAGTCCCTAAAAACAATCTAGTGCTCAACGTTTATCAGCTCAGAGTCCGTAAATTCAAAATCCACATTGTCCAATCCAACAATTCTAGTCTTCGCTTGTGCCTTATCTATCCGCCAGATTACCCGAAGGCCTGGTCCCAAATCCATGTTTTTAATTTCCTTCTAAAGGAAAGGAGGGATGTTGATGACCTAATTTCCCCAGGGAGTGAGTTCCACAGGTGAGGGGCCACCACTGAGAAGGTCCTGCTCCTCGTCCCCACCAATCTCACTTGTGATAGAGGTGGGGCTGAGAGCAGTGCCTCCCCAGAAGATCTTAGACTCCAAGGCGGGACGTAGAAGGAGATGCGTCCGGACAGATACGCTGGGCCGGAACCGTATAGGGTTTTGTAGGTCAAAACCAGCACTTTGAATTGTGCTCGGAATTGGATCGGCAGCCAGTGGAGCTGACATAACAGAGACAGTGAGAATGCACCCTAGGTTTCACCTATGTAGTATTGGAACCAACCCCCAGCCCTTTTCAAGCCTGCCTCCACTTCCCTTCTAGGCATGGCTACATTGAGCTGACCTGAATCCCACCAGAAAAGTCGGGTGGCAAAGGAACTCCCTGATTCGGGATGGAATGCTGCTTGGGATTTTCCCCAAGCGACGAGCTGGCTTCTTTTTTTGCTTAGCCCAGTCCATCCTGAACAATGAGTTCTTTCAGCTCGCAGAGGGGAGGAAGGAACGGGAGGAGAGAGAAAAGGCACCCCCCTTCTTCCTCCCTCCCTCGCCCCCCCGGTCTTTTCCCTTCTTCTTTTCTTCTCTCCATGGATCCTTCGCTCCCCAGAGGCGGGGCCGGGCCTCTCCGGAGTCCCGTTGGAAGCCGCCCCAACCCTCCCAGCCTCCAATGAGGGCCCTTTGGCTTCGGAGGCAAACTTCCATGAGCGCTGCTGGAGGCGGGCAAGGGGGAGGGCAGGGGGGAGGAGAGCTGGGAGTTTCCCCGCGCCTGGAGTAACTTTCCTCGCAAGGAGGAGGAAAGAAAGGAGGACGGAGAAGCAACAGGAGCGCGAAAAGGCGGCGAGATGGGCCTGGTTGATCTGCTCCCCTTGCCCCCTTTGGGCCTGGCTTTGGCCACTCTCCTGGCGCTGGGGGCGTTGTGGCATTTCTGCAGGAGGAGAAGGTAAGAGATGGAGAGGGCAGGCCAGAGAAGGTGTCCCTTTCCAGCATCACTGTGCCTTCCATTCAGCGCTCCCTGGGACCAAGGAGAGAAAGAGGGAAAGGGGAACCCGCCTGGAATGGACGTGCCATGCCCAACCTGCGCCATTAATGCAGTTTGGTGCCACTTGAACTGCCATGGTTCAACGCCATGGCCTTCTGGAGCCTGAGCTTGATGAAGCTCCAACACTCTTTGGTACTTTGCAAAACTCCCAACTCCCAGGATTCCATAGCATTGAACCTGGACAGTTCATTCTGCGGGAGGCAGACACCGGATTTTAAGTAGTTTTTTTCTCTAGTGTGATGAGGCCAGATGCCAAACTGTATTAATTTTGAAGCATATGTTTCATATGGGTGACACCCCTAAGGAGATGTCAAACTATTAATTCAGAAGCATACTTTTCATGTGGGTGACACATTATTTATTTATTTATTTACTATATTTGTATACCGCTCTTCTCAGCCCTCAGGGCGACTCAGAGCAGTTCACAATAGCAAATAGCAAATACAATACTTAAACATGATAAAAACAGTTAAGAACAATTTAAAAGAATAACATTATAACAATCAATAAACATCATAACATCTCGTCTCATCTCATAGTTAAAATCAAGATCCAGTCTCATCATTCAATTCTTCCATATTCCTATATTAATTACACTGCCTATTCAAATGCCTGCTCGAACAACCAGGTCTTCAATTTCCTCTGAAATGCTAACAGCACTCTAATTTCTGTGGGAAGGGTGTTCCACAGCTGAGGGGCCACCACTGAGAAGGCCCTGTCTTTCGTCCCTGCCAACCATACTTGTGATGCAGGTGGGACCAAGAGCAGGGCCTCCCCAGACGATATTAACGTCCTATCTGGTTCATAGGAGGAGATACGTTTGGACAGGTAAGTTGGGCCGGAACCGTTTAGGGCTTTATAGACTAAAGCCAGCACTTTGAATTGTGCCCAATAGCAAACTGGCAGCCAGTGGAGCTGGCGCAACAGAGGAGTTGTATGCTCCCTGAGTGCCGCTCCTGTTAATAACCTGGCTGCCGAGCTTCCGGACAGTCTTTAAGGGTAACCCCACATAGAGACACACTAGAGAATGAATCCACTTTATATATAGTTTCTTCCTCCTGCAGAATTCTGGGGTTTGTAGTTTAGTGAGGCTGTTAAATGCTCCTCCCTAAACTACAAACCTTAAAATGTTTGTTTCAGCATTAATACAGTTTGACATCAGCTTAAGAGACCTCATCACACTAGAGAATGAACCCATTTTACATTTGGTTGCTGCCTCCTACACAATTCTAGGATTTGTAGTTTGGGGAGGGGCCTTTAACAGCCTCAGTAAACTACAAACCCTAGAATTCTGCAGGAGGCAGAAACAAGATTTTAAGTGGATTTTTTCTCTAGTGTGATGAAGTCTAAACTGATGTCATACTGTATTAATTCTGAAGCATACATTTCATATGGGTATCACACTTTTTAAGGACCTTATCACACTAGAGAATGAATCCACTGTAAATCTGGTTGCTGCCTCCTGCAGAAATCTGGGGTTTGTAGTTTAGGGAGGAGCCTTTAACAGCCTCACTAAACTACAAGCCCCAGAATTCTGCAGGAAGCAGAAACCGGATTTAAAGTGGATTCATTCTCTAGTGTGATGAGGTCCTAAACATGCATCAGTTCATGGCACAGTAATTCAGCTTCACTAGAAAATCAGAGGTTAAACCAACCACTTATACATTTCCCTGGATTTTGTTATTTATTGTTATGTTCCCATGGCACCAATGTGTTGTGACATACATTTCGGAAAGCCCTGGTACAGATGCACCCTATGTAATCTCCAGGGGACCACAAAACCACATTGCTCTCCCAACTCTGGAGACCAAAGTTAGCATCCCCATTTAGCCATGGAAACCTATTGTGTGGCCTTAGGCAAGCCATGCTCTCTTAGCTTCAGAAGAAAACAAAGGTGCAGATATTCTCTGAACAAGTCTTGCCAAGAAAACAATGAGTGCATCTAACTGTGGGTTGAACATAGTTTAGCGCTACTTTCACTGCCATGGTATCCTGGCATTTGTAGTTTGATGAAGTACCACCACCACTCTTTAGCAGAGAAAGCTAAATACCTCCTAAAACTACAACTCCTGCAATTTCATAGCATTGAGTTGAGGCAGTTAAAGTGGTGTCAAATTGCTTTAATTGTACAGACTGGATGGGCCCAATGATAGGTTCACATTAAATTAGAAACAACTTGAAGGTACACAGCAGACACCAATAACACCAACACTCTGATTTATGAAGAAAAAAGGCACTCTTCCAAAGTAAAAGTCAAGCAATATGATCTGCAAATTAGGGAGCAAGCTACCAAGTTTTCTTGAAGTATTTTAAAAGACAGAAGCATGAAAAGTACAGTCTAGTTGTTTCTCAACCTGTGGTCCATGGTCTGCAAGAATGAAAATATGGTCCATGGCCTCACGTTGCCCTGAAACCACAAGGCAAGGAGAGTGACTGGTCTCATGAAGCCCTCTTATAGTTCTGAGGCAATGGGGATGTTGGGAGAGGAGAGGCTGACAACCCACAAAAGATTACTACTACCACATCAGCTGTAGATTATTAAATATGGTTTTCTGTGGGGAGCAGATGATGACTACTGGATGGCATATGTTCTGTATCAGAAACTAGAGCTGATGTGGTGTATCCAATGCAATTTTCTGAATCAGCACCTCAAATAACCAAACCGAATCTAAAGTTGACCAAAAACTGATTCATAACCTTTTTGGTACTAATGTTGGAAAGTGATCCCTGGTAAAGTGGTCCCTTGTCAAAAAAAATATTGGGAACCACTGGTCTAGTTTATATGGCTATCAAGTATGTTCCTAGGCATAATTTAACACTCGAAGGGAAAATGGTAAGACTTAAAGGTCTGGAACTCTACTGAGTGTTCAGGGCGGCATACAAAGTTGGCACAATTCGATACCATATATAAAATACATACATTGATAAAAAGCAAAAAGAAACATTACAGTACATTTAGAGACATAAAAACAATGAATAATAAATTTTGTTTAAAAAAAAACCTATGTCCTCTCATTCAAATCCTCATCCATTCCATCGTCTTAACTGTTCCTGGGTCATTTTCCGATTCAAGTTTGTCTGTTTATCCTGAGGTTCTGAATGCTTGCTTGAAGAGCCAGGTTTTCACTCTTTTTCAAAAGGTCAGGAGGGAGGGGGCTGTTCTAATATCCCTAGACAGGGAGTTCCACAGCCGAGGGGCCACCACAGAGAAGGCCCTGTCTCTCATCCCCGCCAAACGTGTGTGCAAAGCAGGCAGGATCGAGAGCAGGGCCTCCTCCGACGATCTCAAGTTCCTGATGGGTTTGTAGAAAGAGATGTGTTTGAATAGATAAGCTGGGCCAGAACCATTTAGGGCTTTATAGGCTAAAGCCAGCACTTTGAATTGTGCCCGGGAGCAAACTGGCAGCGAGTGGAGCTGATACAACAGAGGAGTTGTGTGCTCCCTGAGCACCCATAACATGCACCTGCATGCTTAGGTTTAAATCACATCACATGGTGAAATCGATTGAAGGATGGTGTGATCTGCACATGTGAATTGTGGTGATGGAGGTGACAAAAACCTGATTCCTTCATGGCTGTGAAGCCACAGATCCTGTAGATCCTGGAACTGGGTCTGGATTGACACTTCCATATAATGCAGTTTCAGAATGTAGATTCATTGCATTGAATTGGGTTATATGGCAGTGTAGACTCATATAATACAGTCAATACAGTCAATCTGCATTCTGAAACCGCGTTATATGACAGTGTAGATCCAGCCTGGGTCAAAGTCAACCTCTGCAGTATGTATAAGAATAAACACTATCCCTGTTTCAATCTGGTTCCATGGCACCACATGTCATTAGCTTTATATTGAAATGCTTCTTCCTCCACTGGTTTCCCACTTACCTAAATGGTCAGTGTAGATGTACCCTCTCTATATGAAAGCCTATGTTGCTAAATACATTCTCTATTTTTAAGGTGCTTCCAATTTCCTTTGCATACTGATACTCTATCTAGACAAATACAGTTACCTCTTTGAATTCCACTTTTTTGTTCTTGGAATAATCTAATCTAACAGCCACTTAGATCTGTTTCCATCTCTTAAGGAAAACATTTAGATTTATTTATTTCCCCCCTTGGTCTAATAAAGGATATGGACCTCACCTTGGAATTTGTCTCATGGCCAAGATGGCTTGGCCTGTGTTTGCGATACTAGTTTCTTGTGAGATAGAAAAGTGCAATATAAAAGAAACAGGATAGCTCTCACATTAACAAAGTAGGTCATAAACTTTAAGTTGAACTCTAGGTTAATAAAATAGGGTAGCAGGACAGCCAAACCTTTTTTGTTTGTTTAGTTTGTACAAGGGAGGCTGGCAGCAGGACTTTGGCAGTTCTTATCATTCCCTCCCCTAAAACACACCACTAAGAGAGAGGTGCTGGAATCTGTAGTCTTTTTCTCTCTCAGAAGAGGTATATGCACTACACTGTTGTAGCAGTTTTGTAACACTTCCATGGCTCCATCCTAAGCAAACCTGGAATTTGTTCTTTGGTGAGAAAGTTAGAAGAGAGGGACTAGTGAGGATTAAATCAGTTTTAATTCCAGAATGCCTTAGGAAATGTAAGACTGGAAAGTTTTCTGAAGCATATTATTAGAAAATTCTTAGTACATAACTAAAAGACAGCTCCCAGGATTATGTAGGATAGAACCATGATAATTAACGTGATAATAAAAGTGCTATAACCAAAGTATGGATGTGTTCTGGATGCTGTAGAGTGGAGGATGAGAGTCCATGATTCCCATAGCTTTGCGTTCCAAAAATGCAGCTGAGTGCCAAGAGAGGGGGAAACATCATCTCTGCTTAATTTTCCTGTCTTTTTCTGGGAAAGGTGATAGGAGTTGTTGGATTTGTTGGGCCCAG